AGTAGAACTGTGGTCCATGCCATGCAGTCAGACAACTTGGGATGCCCCTGTGTGTCTTAGTAGAACTGTGGTCCATGCCATGTAGTCAGACAACACGGGATGCCCCTGTGTGTCTCAGTCGAACTGTGGTCCATGCCATGTAGTCAGACAACTCAGGATGCCTCGTGTGTTTCAGTAAAACTGTGGTCCATGCCATGCAGTCAGACAACATGGGATGCCCCTGTGTGTCTCAGTAGAACTGTGGTCTATGCCATGTAGTCAGACAACTTGGGATGCCCCTGTGTGTCTCAGTATAACTGTGGTCTATGCCATGTAGTCAGACAACTCGGGATGCCCCTGTGTGTCTCAATAGAACTGTGGTCCACAGGGTTTTCAAGGTCTGATTTTGTTGGAAGTAGATGTTGGCCTTTTTCTTTTGAGGCACATCTGTGTGGACGTGAACCTCCAGCCTTTCTGTTAGCAGCTGAGCATGCTAACCATTTGCACGACCAGGGACTCCCCTGGGGCACGCGTGATAAAATTACACAGGCCTAATAAGCACACACACAGGTACTAATTTTTTGTTGTCATTTGTGTTTAAGTGCTGTTGAGTCAGTTCCAACTCACTGCTATCGTTTTTAGGTGCCATTGGGTCAGGTCCCGCAAGATGATACAGACTCATAGTGACCCAATATACAACAGAACAAACACCGCCCAGTTCTGCACCAACCTCACAACCATTGTTACACTTGAGCCCAGGTGGCTTCCACTGTGCAGATAGATCTCATTGGGGTCTCTTCCTCTTTTTCGACAACCCTCCACTTTACCACGCATGATCCCCTTCTCCGGGGACTGGTCCCCCCTGATAACATGTCCAAAGTATGAGAGACAAAGTCTGGCCATCCTGGCTTCTAAGGAACATTCTGGCTGTACTTCTTCCAACATAGATGGGTTTGTTCTTCTGGTGGTCCAAGGTACTTTTAATGGATGCATTCAAATGCATCAATTCTTCGCCTTCCTTCTTCACTGTCCAACTTTCAGATGCATATGAGGACTCTTAGGGACCCTGTATGCAACGGTCTAAGGTTTCCAAGGAGCAGTTGGTGTGTTTGAACCACTGACCTTGTGGTTAGCAATCCAGTGCTTATCCTACAGCACCACACCAGAACTCCTAGTAGAAAGGGAGCGACCGATACAAGATCGGTGAGTCGTCCCCACGCCAATATCCTGGTGTGATTCCAGACTCCAGTTTCACAAGGTGTTCTCCAGGTAAGCTGGTAAGCAGGCTCTCCTCCTATGCTTTCTTCTTGAATTCTGCAGATGCACCTAACAAAACCCTTACCAACTCAACAGCTTTTGTGCAGACACCTCCATGACCATTGTTGGTGCTGTTCAGCCATTCTTGTTATACTTCCTGAATTTTCCACCATTAACATAACTTCCATGGCCCTCCCCCTACCCCCCAGCCCTGGCCTCTGTCTGTTCACGGTTTCATATCAATGGGACCGTACAGAATTTTCCCTTTGATGTCTAGCGTCCTTCACTCAGCACCGCTTCATCCACACTGCAGTTTGTGCCAGGACTTCATTCTTTATTATCTGTAGGCTTCCTACAACTGCAAGTCTATCTACAATGGCCTCAATGTCAAAAGTTAAAACCAATGACAACCAAGTGGAAACAACACTGCTAGGACCCTTCGGTCACTGATGGAGCTGTCTCCAGACATGACTGTGACATTGTTCTCAATGGTCGTTGTGGAATGAGGTGATCCCGTGTGATCAGTCGATGAGTTGGAAGGAAACTGGTGGGGTGGGGTGGGGAAATGCACCCCCCTTACTCAGGTCCCAGCCCTGACCTGACCTCGGGGGCCTACATCCCCTGCTCTCTTACAAGACAGAAAAGAAGAGTGAGATGCAGACAGAGAAAAGGGACCTACTCCAACCAAGAAAGTAGAGCGGGAAGTGGAGCGTGTCCTCTGGACCAGCAGTCCCTGTGCTGAGAACCCTGACCCAAGGAAGAGTGATGCCAAGACACGCGAAAATCTCCAAGGAGCAATAGGCCCACAGATGCTTACAGGAGACCAGGACCTTCCCCCAGAACTCACACAGAGAAAGCCTTCCCCAGAGCTGGAACCCTGAATTTGGGTTTCTAGCCTAAATTGGGAGAGGATAAATTTCTGTTTGTGAAAGCCACCACTTTCAGTATTTCTGTGGTAACAGCGCTAGAGAATGATGACACCAACCCAAGCCAGCAACCACGGTGCATCTAGCCATGGGCTTTGAGAAGCTAAAACAAGAACAGCAACAGGAGTGGGCAGCCCTAGCCCACCAATGAGCCCTGCTGGCCCCCAGGAGCCTCTGACCTGGAGACGTTTCCCTGGGACCCCTCCCCATCTCCAAGGAGCATCATGAGATGAAAGGCTAACCCTGCAAATTCCGAGCCAGTACCTGCCCTAAAGTTGGAGCCACAGGGCAAGGTGTCCTCACTTCTCATGAACCCGAACTTTCTTTCAGTGGTGAGAGACCAGCCCCAGAGATATTCCAGCAGAGGCTGAGGGCCCCAGCACTGACTGGCGTTAGAAACCCCA